AAAGGTCCCTTCCAACCCAAAGCATTCTGTGATTCTTTGATACCCCTTGTTTGACTAAAGGCTCGGCTTCTTGCTGATTTCCCCTCTGGGTCCATTCTTTTCTTCGTGGTTGTCTAACTTCTTGTGTATGTGGTACTTGTTTCTGTTCCTCAGGCAAGTTCCCAAGTAGTTGAACACTCTTCTGTGCAGGAGAATCTAGACTACAAATTTCCCATTTCCTGGGAATCTGGTAGATTCTTGGGCAAAACCTACCCATGTCCTCCTTTGCTTCCTGCTATAACATTTTGATCTTAATTCAGTGTTATCAGCCTGTGTTAGGCATGGGCTGAGCACACACAAACAGCTGGACCTTCATAGGCACTGTCCTTTATGTTGGGATTACAGTATATATATGCTGTTTCAGACCAGACTAAGTGTATCTGGCATCATCTCCAAGGAATTTAATAGATGCCCAAGGAATCCTAGTGAATGAAAACTTTCTGCTTTACATTTAATAGCCAGTTTACTTATTTTCCATTCAATTCTTACTTTCCATTTCAAATTTGTTATGTCTTAGCAGCTGTTGAAGTGCTATACTCACATTTTTATTTCAAATGTTTTAAATATGATATGTTTCTTCTTTTAGTTACAGAAGTGATGTGTATAAACACTGAGCTTCAGATTAAGAGTTTTGTACTTACAGCTGTACTGCGGTATAGTCTGACACAAAATACACTTTTCTGATATGCATTTGCCAGACTTTGGGCTGAACCACAAATGGAAAATGGTGTCCGATTGGAGAGAATTTCAGTTTTACCTCTAATATTAAAGCATTTTCTTCTGAACGTTACACTTAGGGACATGGAAACATAACATTAAAAGTAGTCCTGGTAGAATTCAGAGCTATTTTTATTTTCAAAGAAAATAAAATGTTAAAAGTAGTCATAGTAAAATTTAGAGCTATTTTTGTTTTCAAAGACCTACAAATTATGATGAAATATGGTGGAAGAGAACTTTATAAGACCAGTTACTCTGCTAATAGCACTTTTTCTGCCTGCCATGCTGATGCATGTCTGCCTGGCTCAGTGCAGCATTATACAGACACGCGTAAGCCAGCTCAGATTGAGCTACCTCAGGTACCACAGGCAGAATATCCACATTAACACACTGCTCTGCCCTGGCTAATTAGCTATTAATAGCCCCAGAGGTTAATTTCTATATTCATGATTAATATTTAATGGGCTATGAGCAGTTTAGTAAAACTTATTTCTAAACATAATTAATATTGCACGCAGCAACAGCAACAGAGTAATACAATTTACATTAAATACTTCCAGTGTAATTTCTGCTGATTGTATCTCTTTACTTCTCTTTAGGGGCTCTGAATGTAGATCATGCCTTAATGCACCTCAGCATAGTTTAAATGAACTGTAATACAGAAAATTCTATTCTGTCTTAACTAATCAGATAGCTTTATCCTATAGTTAAAGGAACTGTAATGAAATTATATGGCTAATAAATATTTCTGTCAGTCATTTTATTTCACCCTGCAGGTACAAGTTCTTGGATCAGAATGATTATACATAGAACGCTGTAGTCAAAAAGCATAAGTCGCATAAGGTGGTAGCATATTCCTTTACTTTGGATCAAGCTCATCCTTACTATGAATTGCCAAGTTCACTTTTTGTTAATAGTGTGTCATATAATGGACTTGAGACAGATTCTCAAATTTGTTTGTTCCTTCATAGTAGCTATTTTCTGCAAAAAGAAGTGAAATGCTGCTATTTTTAACTCATAACATTTTATACCCATGTTGCACTGATTTTGCTTTTCCTCAGATGTAGTTTGTATATAATAAGGTTTGAGAAAGCAGAAAAACTGGCCCAGAGGACTTGTTATGGTTTTGCTTGTAATTATTTTGTTTGAAAAATTAGGTTAGACAGTGACTGGAAAAGGCAGAGGGACATGGCTATAATGTATGCAGACATTTTATCCATGGCATAAGTTTAGTAGCTTAAAAAATGGATTTAGGCAAGAGAAATTGCTTGTTTGCCCATTGTTTTGTATTTAGTGACTGTACTAGACATTCAGCAGGTGTCAGCCTCTGTAATTCCACTGACTCCCAGGCACTTGTGATGATCCTTACAGACTGAGCATCTGTCCTGATAAGACTGTCCACCCTTATTTTAAGGAGAGAAGAGGTGTAACAACAGATTAACTTGACCATGTAATTGATATTGCATGGGCATACAGATGATATTGAATATGTAGAATCATAGAATCATTTAGGTTGGAAAAGACGTTTAAGATTATCCAGTCCAACCATTAACCTAACACTACCAAGTCCACCACTAAACCAATTAAGGGTAGAGTAGTAATTAATTTCATGTTTCCTGGCTTGGTGGCTGGATTATTTTTTTAATGAAAGTAAAACTAGGAATCATCAAGGTTGGAAAGGACCTCTAAGATCATCAGTCCAACTGTCAACCCAACACCACCATGCCCATTAAACCATGTCCTTATATACATCGTAGAAACGTGGAGCTGGAAAGTAGATCGAGACATTCTCTAATTTTCCCCTTGGCTTGAGGCAGACCCAGTGCACCTAAATTATCTCAGTAATGTTGGGGGTGCATGTTTCAGAACTCAGGCCAGCCAGCTTCACACCTTGTTTCCCTGAAACACTCCCCCTTACAGTGATCCTTTCCTACAGCTGTTCCTGTACTCACAAATCTTTCTCTTGCACAGTCCCCATGAAATATCCATCTCTGGATATTCACCTATGGGTTTTCTTTTCCTGCAAAATTAAGTCAGGTTATAACTCAGATATTATCTGAATCTTGTTCAGGATACAAAATCTTTTAACTTAATTCAGCACACTAGGGCTTGGTCTTGGTCAAATAGTGCAGCACACAACTGTACAAAAATAATTTATCCATCACCTTCTAGTGTGAAAGCACATTGAATCACTACTGCATTAGATCTTGCATTACCATCTGATGATCTTGGCCAAGCAAATTGTAAGCTCTTCCAAAGAGTGCTCCAGTTCACTGCCGTGCTGAGAATGCCCTTTGTGTTCCCAGGGTTTTCGCAGTCCCATCACGTGGTGCAGCTGTTATTTTACAGCATCTTTCTAAATTGTACTCACTGTGCTTCACAGTGTAGGATATTTTCTCTTGCCACAACTAGTTTGCCACCAGTATAAACCTATCTAATTTTAAACTATTTCAGGTATATTTCTACACTACGCTTCCCACAACTATGCTGTAGACTTGTTCAAAAGCAGCTGCTTTCCTTCAGATTAGTCAAACCTGGGATAGATAACTTAAGTGTTAATGAATGGTGTTAATTCTGTAATGTAGCATGCTGTAACTCAAGAGAGAGGGTGGAGAAAGATGGACAACAACAACAACAACAAAAAAAGCAATTTAGAGATTCCAGTTGGAATAATTTTACTTCTGAGACATCAAAGTTTGGCTTGTGATAGATTTTTCTGGCAAAGCACAAAAGTGAATGGGGAAAAAAAAAGTACAGCCAAGCCAAGAATTTATCTGAGAGTCAATGATGGAAGAAAATGTCATTGCATCACTAAATAGCAATATGTGCACAGGTTTGTTAATTTGCGTAGATCCATACATGAGTATTTAATTCTTTTGTTCTCAAACAGGTTCTAAGTCTGACTCCAAATGATGGCTTTGCCAAAGTACATTATGGCTTCATCCTGAAGGCAGAAAACAAGATAGCAGAGAGCATACCCTATCTAAAGGTATTTTTCTTTTCTCACCTACAGTAAATATTCTACCTGTAAAACATAAAATTGGAATATATAAAACATGTCAAGGTAGAAGCATACTAATCACAAATCACAGTTTAAGCTACGTGTTGGAGTTATATTGCTGTACTACTGCCTATGAACGGGAACAAGCTTGTACATGGAGACTCATCAATTCTTAAACATCAGGTATTTGTTTTATTAGTGGTTAACTCTAAGTACGTAGCTGTGAGTCTCAAATTCTTTTGAGTTTGGCAGTATGCTGCAAACTTAAGGTTCTTGAAAAATCAGAGAGGGCTTGCGTATACTTCTGGGTGTTTGGGAAGAAATACCACAAAATAAAACCTTAATCCAGCTTTCTAAAATGCTTGTGTATATGTATATAGGGTCAGGGCAAGTGTCCATCTCTGAATACAGCTCTGTCTTGGAGGGCTTGAGGGGAGAGGCTATGGTATTTGGAAAACTGATAACATTTCTCGATGGTTTTTTACTGAAGTATTGTATTCATTCAACCTAAGTTCAAGGTTACCATGGTGGTTATATTTTATAGCCAGTTTCATAGCCTGTCTCTTGCATAGAATTGGCAACCTATTTACAGCATCAAATGAACTCTTTTAGAAGACCTGTTGAAGTTTTCTTTTTTTTTTTTTTTTTTTTTTTTTTTTAACTCTAGGAAGGACTAGAGTCTGGTGACCCTGGCACAAATGATGGACGCTTTTATTTTCATCTGGGTGATGCGTTGCAGAGAATGGGAGACAAAGAGGTACGCATGTAACGTGTTCTTGCTTTTAACTCTAAACCTCTGATGGACTGCAGAATCCAGAAAAACTTTGAAGCACGGGCTCAATGTTGAAAACATGAGTAGTCCTATTGCAGTAACAATCCAGCATATGTGTGTAGAGGTCAAGATGAGCAACAGCAAAAAAATTGCTATGGGTGTGTCAATACAATCTCTCAGTATCCCTTGCTTTAGAACTAACCTAAACTTCTGAAACTTGCATGGGGCACTTTGAACCAAGGGACCAAATATTTTTCAAAAATTCAATGAAGGTGTTTTTAGAGTCTGTTTTCTACTCCTACCACTTACAACAAATATTTTAACCACAGTTAAAAAAAACCAATTGCATGTATATCACTGTATAGAAGTTCTCTTATAGCTCTGATAGAACAGTGTTTTGTAAACCTCCCTTCTTTCACAAAGTGACCTTGAGCACCAATGAGTATGTAATAAGAGACGACCATGAGAGGACTGAATGTGTGGGCTGAGTTATGGTATTTTTCAACAATTAAAGTAGCAAACAGATCAGAAAAACACAGATTTGTGCAACAAATCTGTTGCGTGCCCAACAAAAGCAAACATATGTGACTGAAAACCATAAGAGTTTCCAATTTGTTAATTTAAACCCAAATTTAATGTAAAAGCCAAATTTAAATGTGTGTATTAGCACTATTGCCATGTGCTCTTTCTTAAGCATAGTTCATCAGGTTAATTTTCATTTTTTATAAAACGTGGAACTTTTAATAAAATACCTTATACATACATTGAAATGTAATAACAACTGTATTTTTTAAGTAAGATTGCCTTCTCTGAAAGTACAATAAAATATTCTTCTAATGAAGTTTTTTTAATTTAAAAGTTCATTTACAAATGAGAATTAGTTAGCCTCATTCTATATGTAAACACACACATGCTTGTGTGTGCAGAAGCACACACAGTGTCTGCTTGCGTGCGTGCTGTCCCTCTGTCTGTCTGCCTGCCTGTCTGACTGTCCTTCTCTCAACAGAAAACCAAAAATGAAATCCCTGTATGCTTCCATGGCATATTCTGGGTTGAATGATTGTACCTAGAGCATCCCATTACAATGTTTGACTAAAGATATTCAGATGTAATCAATGTATATCATCCCAATCCCCAGGATCATTATGTGTTAATGTTTATGGAGTTAATGGTCAAATCTGCTGTAGAAAAAGTTTTAATCAATGACAAATGAACTTCTTGGCATAGAGCAGACTTTTAAATATATCAGTGGAAAGTCCACTGTTAAGCTAAATTTTTCTTACTGACCTTGCTAGACTTGCTGAACTTCAAGATTTAATCAAGGAAAGAGATCAATATTTAAGGAACATGTGAAATTACTATCACTGAAGGTTTGTTGAAGGTAGATATTAATCTATTAGAGCTAAATTAGGAATTATGAATGTGGGCTTGGTAAGTGTTAGGGAAACAGTGTTGAGTATGCCCTTTCCAACTATAATTTGATAAAACGCCAAATTGACTTAAAAAAAGATAAATTAAAACTGTGGAAGGTATTATAGAACAAAGTGCTGTTCACACAGAATTTATAAACTGAGTGCATCTCAAACAATTACGTCCCTGGGAAAGAAGCTATACCATAGTAGCTGTCCTGAATAGTACAGTGGTCATTATTTAGCCTTTCTGCTGCCAAGATCTGCATGCAGAAAGAAAAGTTTCTCATGGAAACTCAGGACTGGAAAGGATGAGTGAGGCAACCTAACCCTACTCCATGCTGTCAAAGGCAACCTCATAGCACAATTCTTCTAATAGGTAAGGATTAACAGTATTATACATTGTGATTATAGCTGAGGGATCTTAAAGCGCAGCAACGTTCATACTCATCAGTCAGTGGCTGAAACAAGTAATTCATCCCCCTTATCATTTGGGCTAGCTCCAGACATTGCAAATGAATGCAGGTAGTCAGCATGAATGATTTATTGATATCCCACTGCTATTACAACTTACATCTTGGGGAACATATGTTGTAAATCATAATGCTTCCATTTCAGAGACTTAACCAAGATAACATCAAAATTTAAGGATATACTGTGTATTACCCACAGGTAATACATAATTTTTTTTTCTTTGACCCATACACAATTTTACAAAGCTTCTCCAGGGAAAAAAGACGAAAGCTTATATATGGTCTATGGTTATTCTGTTCATCGACACTGTTTTTCTGTACTTCAGATAAATACTATAAGGCAACATTCTGTTGTGGCCTTTCCTCCATACTTCAAGACAGTTTTAAACATCAGAGGACCACACTTTTTGAAAGCTTGAAGAAAATTCACAGACTCTCAAAAAATAATCTGTGGTTACAATATAGACACTTAAGGAAAAATTTGAAGACAAGACCACCCAAAGTAATTTCTTACCTTGTATGTGAAATAAAAGATCTCTAAGATGACACCTGGAAATCTTTAGAAATAATCTATTACATGAAGATTTTACAATAGCTTTTTGTTGTCTTGACTCACTGCTAAGACTTACTTAGTCTTAGTGAGTCACACACTGTTCTTAATGGCTGATTTGTATGCAAAAAAGTTTTGGGTTTCCTTCTAGTTTACTGCCTTCAAGGTAAACATAAATAATAAGCTGACATGAATTGTTCTCCTAGAGATGTGTTTATTTGATTGTATGTTTTGCTTTCCATTAGACCCCATACATGAAATGATTCTTCTTTAGCTTAAGAGTTAGTACTGTGTTTTTTGTCTCAGTAAGTCTTTTGTTTTAGCCTTCATGTCAAATGTGGGCAGATTAATGGACAACTGTCATATGCTCATGAGTTAGAATAGGAGAAATTACTCTATTTGAAAGACAAATAACAATTAAAATAGTTAGTCATGCAGGAGAACTAGCATACCAGAATGCTACTGGGGACAGTGTTCATCTTGTCCAGATGTCGTGGTTTAACCCCAGCCAGCAACTAAGCACCACACAGCCACTCGCTTGCTCCCCCACAGTGGGATGGGGTGAGAATCAGAAGGGTAAAAGTGGGTTGAGATAAAGACAGTTTAATAGGTAAAGCAAAAGCCATGTGCACAAGAAAAGGAAAACAAGGAATTCATTCACTACTTCCCATCAGCAGGCAGGTGTTCAGCCATCTCCAGGAAAGCAGGGCTCCATCACACATAATGGTGACTTGGGAAGACAAAAGCCATCACTCCAAACGTCTCCCCCTTCCTTCTTCTTCCCCCAGCTTTATATGCTGAGCATGACATCATATGGTATGAAATATCCCTTTGGTCAGTTGGAGTCAGCTGTCCTGGCTGTGTCCCTTCACAGCTTCTTGTGCACCCCCAGCCTGCTCGCTGGTGGGGCGGGGTGAGACGTAGAAAAGACCTTGACCATGTGTCAGCACTGCTCAGCAGCAACTAAAACATCCCTGTGTTATCAACACTGTTTCCAGCACAAATCTCAAACATAGCCCTGTACTAGCTACCATGAAGAAAATTAAGTCTGTCCCAGCCCAAACCAGCACAACAGATTTTCCTTAACTCCTGTTGGAAAGAAAAGTGGAGGGTTTGTTTTTTTGAGGAGAACTTGGTGAGGAGGTGGGTACGGACAAGGAAGGTGGCTAATGGTGACGCGTAGAGGGAGTATTATTAACTGGAAGCACAAGGGTGAAATTATAGGCTGGTTTATGTAGAGTGAGATAAGAATAAATAACAGGTTGGGTGAAGGAGCGTGGGAACATGGTACAAGTTTAGATGAGTGATGCTTAGGTGGAGGTGAATTGGATAGATTGCAGGCTTGGGAGGGAGCAAGTTTCAAGCGGTGTAGCTAGATAGGGACTCTGTGGATGACTTCAACTAAAGAGGTTTTTGGACAGTTTCTGTTCAAGGCAGGGATTGCTTCCTGCTTCAGTCCCTCTGCTCTGGACTTCTGTCTACTACAACTTCTTACCTCATATCTCCCTACTTAGCTGTCCTGTCATATCCAGGGTTTTTTTGTGTTGTCTGAAACATTGCAGCTGTAGCAGCAATGCTGGACAGGAAGGAGGCAGCTCTGTGTAGCCTTCTCTGTATACGGTTCATCACAGTGCTATTCATGCTGGATCTTTTCTTTCCAAGCATCCCATTTTCTTCTTTTGCAGGACCTTGCTTTGCTGCTATACAGTGGTAAAGCAAGCTGTGAAACGGACAGTAAGACAAAGGTGGGGTATTAGCCTCAGTAGGTTTCTACCATGTGAAATAAAGGGAAGGGACAAGAAAAATTAGTAGCATCAGCTCAATTCTGGTGTGGCAACAAATATTTGAAGAAACTCAAGTGCATATATGTGTTAGATAATTATGTAACAATTTAGATCCATAATGTCAGCAATGTTTTCATCATCACAGCATCTCCATTGGCAGCAGAAGGCAGTCATCTTTAATTCATAGGCAGAGAATTGAAACATAAAGAAAACAAGGTTGACCAAGATGACAAACAATTGGATCTCCCAAGTCCAAAGACAGTGCATAGATTACTGACCCATATTTGGTGTGAATAGTTGTGAGAAGATTATCCTATTTTGCTAATGCTCTATTGGACAGCCTTGGCTGACTGATCTATTTTGGGATTGTTAGTCAGGGGTTTGGGGGTTTATTTGTTTTGGGGTTTTTTTTCCTTGAAGTGTTCATTACTACATTACATTAGAATAACCCCGGCATCCAAAGAGACAGTCTGTTGCCTTACCAAAAAAGCATAAGTTACTTTTTTTTCTGTGGGAGCTTGGCTGATATGAATTCAGTTGTTACCAACTGCAATCTTTTAGGCATACAAGTGGTATGAACTTGGATACCAAAGAGGTCACTTTGCATCAGTTTGGCAGCGCTCCCTCTACAATGTCAAGGGACTGAAAGCTCAACCTTGGTGGACAGCAAGGGAAACTGGTTATATGGAATTGGTGAAGGTAAGGCAGTTTGTTTCTGTATACTTTGATTTTATTTTTAATATCAACTATAATCTAAGGTGTTAAGCAGAGAAAATTCTAATCTATGAAGTCTGAATCACTGCCTGTGAGTACCAGACTCCAATCTCAGACTGAGCACAAGGTTTAACTAAGATACTGTAAAATGAGCTCAGGCATTTTCAAAATTCAGAATGGGGACAAGATGGCTGAAATGATTAATAAATGCAACGTTTGCATGGTAGGCAACTGTAATGTCTCAAGTGCAAAATCACAGCAAACTTTGGTAATGTCTGGGACACGCATTGTGGATTTTTAATTAGTTGGGAAAGGCTGTGTCCTTCATCCATTATGTAATATTTGGTGACTTCTTTGGAAGGTTTTAACTGCATAAGAGAAACAAACGTAGACTCCCAGTGATGGATTTAGCAAAAGGTAACAACATAGAATTTAAGCTCTTTAAAGTTCTTTTTTTATTTAATGCAAGACAAGTAGTCTGGTTATTTATTATTCATAATAATAGTTTCTGTTTCCAAAATAGCATAATTTTTATTATTTTAATTTTAACAATTTTAATCATAATTTTTAAAAAAGCAGGGGGGGAGAACCTTTTTCCCCCTGTATGTTTTAATTATTGGTATGTGGTTTAGCAAAATTATTCTGGACAAATAATTTAAAAACATAAATGTTTATTTGCAAGAGAAAGGTTCCTTCAAAGTGGTTGTTCCGTTATACTTACTTGCATAACATGTTAAAAAACCTACTATAACAGGATGATTTTATTTAAAAAAAAAAAAAAGAAAAAGAAATTAAAAAAGGAAGATTACTCCTTGTTATGATTTTGATGGCAGCATAAATAAGACTAGGAAATTTAGATTAAAGTGTGATTCTCCAGTGTAATCCCAGTCACACAAAAAAAGCAATTAGCTTTATGGACTCGCATTTGGGAAGATTTGAAATGTGCATGTATTGAACTCATTCTTGAGGATGTGTAGGAATAGATACTCCCTGCCATAAAGAAGATGGAGAAACTGGAAACTTCTTATCGTACTTTTGCTAAACAAAAAAGAGAAAATCTATATTATTTTATTGATGTTTTAGAGCTATCTGCAGTGCTGTTTCACAGTCTCGTATATGTCAACCATTCAAATTCTTGAGTCACAGAAGGTAATGGTCCCTTCACCCTCAGCATGAGGGTGCTTTGAATGATGAAAGAATTCAGTTTCCTGTTATAAAATGGCCAGGGCTCTACCTTGAAGGGATTTTTTCAGATGGATCAGACCATATATGGAGGTCTTGGTTTGAATCAACATCTTGCATGGCTCCTAGAAGAGCCAATCAGAAGACCAACAAAGATAGAGATTCACCCCTTACCTCCACGACACAACTGCCTGTTTGAAATCCACTCATGCTGCTTCAATCCAATAATTTTGTGGTATATTTTTTAGCTATTTGTTAGCAATATGTCATTGAATCTGGACTAAATTGTGGCTGCTAATTTACTTACCACCCCCAAATTATGATACCTATGTAAGATTTACCTTCTTCAAGATAATGTACACAGCTGAAATTAGAAACCCAAAATATTAGTTAAATGCATTAGGAAAAAATATTTATATTGTTGTGTTTCCCCCATAACTCAAGAAAGTACTTGAAGTTTTGAAAGAAAGCAGGCTTGATTCTAATAAAATACGATGCTGCAAGCAAAATTTGAAGTACTCTTCAGAAAGTGGCAAAAAATCATTGAAGACATTGGTTTTATTAATTTCTGAAATATTGCAACTTCTGTACATATTTTAGTTAAAAAAACCCATTATTTCCCCATTCCACAGAGCAAAAACCAATCAGCAGTTATTTCTTCCTGCTTCTCTTGTTACGTTCCTCTTATATCTGTACAGGGTGTGTGGGAAATGCTACCAAATCCCAATGACAGAATTTGACGTGGAAAACTGCTGTACAAAGGGCTAAGTACTGGAGGCCCTGACTTTCTCCCACTATGTTTCACCACTTGTTGTTAAATATGAACAAGCTATTTTCAGTGTCTTGGTAGGTTAATGCTAGCTGAGGATTTATTTGTGGCTGAGACATTGCTAAAGCCAGACTGGCAGCTCTTTTTGGTTCATTCTACAAAGCAGTACGGCTGTGGTCAGTAGCATCTTATAGCACAGACCTGGCTTGATTTTGTTATTAAAGGGTGATGTGTTTTCTTGAAGCTGGAGGTGGAGATGTGAATTTTGACAGTGCCTTGCTTTTTCCACAGAAAACCTGAAGAAAAAATTCTTTTTTTGGTATTCTGAGTTTAATAAATTCCTCCTGAAGGGCATTCAGCTCACCTAACTGTAGCCGTACAGACACAGGGCATATTGTCCATGCTAGAGGTCTAGTTTACAGGTCAAAAAAGAGGTATTTCCAGAAGATGATTAATTTTTACTATTTTAAATAACTATCTAAAGATGGCATGTCTCCCTTTCTGGTGTTAACTTTCCTACTGCTTTACTAAAAAAAGAAGCCTACACAACTAATTTAGGCCTGATGTTTAACTGCCTGGGGTAAGATTAGAGACAGTCTAATACTTTATTTACTTCACTGTTACCTACTTTTCTGGACGTCTTAAGGAAGAGGGATTTTTTAGTTTCTCTAAAAAAAAAAAAAAACTGAGAATATCTCAGTAACACTTAACAGGACGTGTATTAAGGAGGTAAATCATGGTTAGCGCTACTGTGCTGAAGGGAAGTGGATCTTTGCATCTCTTTAGCTGCTGCCCGTTAATGCTTTTTTCTGGCTTCCTTGAAAGAATCGGAAGGGGCACCTGATTTCTCAGGAAGCAGAAAACATAAGCCTTTAAATTAGGAAGAGTGTGTCAAGTGTTTTATGTAGAAATATTCTGTTAATGTTTCTGATCTACAGTATTTTAGGCCTTTGGATTTGGAGATTCAAGAAACAAATTCTTTCTTGTTTGAGCTCAGCTAAAAGGAAACCTTACTTTTATCTTTGAAAACCTGCCCTCATCCCTTGGGGCAATTAGCTTTCCATGGACCGTCTTACTGAGCCACTGCATCATTCTCTGGTACCTTTTGTAGAACCTCAGTATATCATTATTTTTCTATTCTGGTGCTTGTTATAAAAGAGGTACAATGCTATTGAATCCTAGAGACTTTTCACCAGTCTGAAACTAATACATAGGTAATGACCTAGGTAACTTTGTCCTTTCCTTATGTTGTGTCTGCTGACATTTGGAAAGAACCCAGAGGATGCTTTGCTAATAATGTACTACAGTGAATAGCGGATTGATTAAAGTAGATCTTGTATTGTCAGTTTTCTCTGATGGCTTAGATTTTATTAATTAAAAGTTTAAAGTGCAGGAAGAAAAGTGCAAAAAGAGAATGAAAGTACTGGCAACAGCACATATCCATAACGTTTTCTGTAGAGTGACAGCTAGGGCTTAATGGTTTAGCTAATAATAGCTAAACATTCATATTTAATGGAGAAATTAAATTGGAATATGCATTTAAAGTGTGGCTGGATGCTTTAAGGGGAGCCTTGTGTTGAAAAGAGCAGAGATGAGGCGTACACATGCTGATGTTCAAGCACTCTGAGTGACCGAATGGGTGCAAGGAATCTATTTTGAAAAGCTTAAAATATTGCCCCTTACTTGGAAGTCATCAGTGTTCCCCAGCAGAGACATGGTAACTGACTGTGAATACTCTCCTACTCTGTTTCAGTAACAAAGTGAAATAGATTGAAGTCTTCACCATGATTTTATTTTATAGTCCAATGGATTAAAATGGGCATGTCGTCAGTAGTTATGCCTCACATTCTTAATCTCTGCCTGTGTCATTTATGACCATGCATTTGAAAGGGTTTGACAGCACAGATTCTTTTAATATAATAGTCACACATAAAAATAAACCAATATTAAGAAATCCCTACTTAAATATAGTAATGTCTTTGCCAATAAAATCTACACTATTGCCAGATGTAAAGTAACTGTAAACTTCCATTATTGTTAGGAACTGTATTTAAAAAGCCATATGGAGGTTTATGGGAATCAGCTGCTAGGAAACAAGTACATATTCTCCCAATGCTCTTCACCACCTGATTCTTCACTTGAAATCGGGATATTGCACCAAATATAATATGAATTTTTTGGTCTAACCCGAGGCTTCAATCCCTACGTATTATGGAGCATAAGCATATCTGTAGATACCAGCTCTTGGATCAAGAGCCTTAAGTCCAAGTCCTGGACTTAATCATTATGTTTTAGGGGAGTTATGCATTCTTGCAATTCAAGGTATGCCTAAGAGTCTGTAAAATCAGAGAGATCAAGGCTGGGCTATGTGTGAACTCCTGTAACTCTCTGCTTCCTTTCTACCCAGGAGTTGCCTATTACTCATAGTAAAGCACTGTCAGTGTCTTTTATAGATGGGGTCCAGGTTTTCAGGAGTACAGAGACACTATTGATTTCGGTGCAAGTTATGTCTAAAACCATTGAGGAGCCAGTTGGGGACAATCTTTTCAGCAAGGCTTGTTGTGACAGGACAAGGAATAATGGATTTAAACTGAAGGAGGATAGATTTAGAATGGATATAAGGAAGAAATTGTTTACAATGAGGGTGGGGAAGCACTGGAACAGGTTGCCCAGCGAGGTAGTGGAGGCCCCATCCCTGGCAACACTCAAGGTCAGGTTGGATGGGGCTCTGAACAACCTGATCTAGTTGAAGATGTCCTTGCTCACTGCAGGGGGGGTTGGGTAGATGACCTCTAAAGGTCCCTTCCAACCCAAAGCATTCTATGATTCTATGATTCTAAAAAATTGATGCTATGTATTCAAATCACTTTATCTCCAACGTTAGGGAAGGAATCTTAAAAAGCAAGGACAAACACACACCTTTGGAGGTTAACTTTAAGCCTGTGACACCTGTGAAGGATTAGAGGTGAGAAAGCAGCTGTTGCCTGCAAGTCCTTGGACCACCAGTGCTCTCCATGCACCATCTTGTCTGCATGGGTGAATGTTCCCTCTTACCTTTTTTGAGATAAGGGAGTAGGAGGAGTTTAAGGAAACAGAGAAGCATTTGTAATATCTTTTAAAGTTTTCCAGTTTTGTTGATCCACATCACTTTAATTTGAGGCCTGTGTAATTGTGAGTTATCCTTTTCTTTCTCTTCTCCAGCCAGTGTAAAATCAGGTACTCAAGCTGGTATTTCCTTTTATAGATATGGTAGCGCTGAATCAGTACCAGCACTCTTCCCATATTCATCTCCAATCAGGTGGAAATTTTCAGTCTTGTTTTGTACTCTGCATTTTGGAAAAGTCAGTTTTCCAAAGATACTCTAAGAAACATTTCAACTTAATGTTAACTGTTAAACCAGTGTTATGGAAACCCATCAGTGGGACAGAATAAGGTGAATGCACCAGGAAAAATTATAAATGCTCTTCCCCTTTGCTGATGGATGAGAGAGAAAATGATTTGCTAGGAAGAAGAAGAGAGTACTGTAATTACAGAAGTACAATCCTAATTTTCATAGATCTTAGCCTACCTGAAAATGTTCTAGTGGGAGAAAGTCGCTGTATCATAGACAGCGTGTTCTAGCCATGGCTTGCTGAGCCTTTTATGATATATCAGTGTACAGCCTATTTTGTGTGATCAGCTTGTCTTTTAATTGAAAAAAACTCAAGTGGAAAATGCAACTGTTTAATTTAAATGGGAAAGGCTAATAACCATATGGAGTTTTAAGGCTAAAAAGGGGCAGTTATATCACCTAATCTCAAAGACTTTTGAGTTTTACTCAGCTTTACACATCATATAAAGAGGAAGTGTGGCAGCCTATTTTCAGTATGAAATTGATTGAAAATGTCTTATAGAAATGCTTTGTTCAAGAGCACAAAGGAAAAATGAAAACTATTCACACAAAATAAGGTTTAGCGAGTAAAGTAAGCAGCTGGGAAATCGAAGTCACTTTTATCCCGGTCCATTGTTACACTGTCGGTTTTTCATTTATACTGCTATAACATTAAAATGACTTATTGGTAGAATAGAAGGTTTTCTGATCTATCTGATTTTTACAAATACAATGTCCTAAGGCAGTAGAGAACAGAATTTTTAATTCTACAATCTTGTGGTTTTGGTATGTATGAAGTACAAGCAGCTTACACATTTTTTAATGGTTGTGTCCATAAATCATCACCTGGCATTTCAAGTCATATTTGATCTTTTTCAATAGCATTAGCATGTGCAAATGAGTCTTTGCAAACCTTTTTGAAGGTTTAAATCATAACTGTCAACTTAAGTGGCCTGTTTACATTTGTACTCTTTGAATCGTGATGTTCTGCCTACGCCTGGAGTTCCAGGTTATGCGAGTGGTTTTCTAGTTTGCAGGAGTGCTTCCAGGTAACATGTGCTGTCTTTAAGATCAGTACTCTTCCTAGCTTGCAATACAAAATGATCTGTTAAAGAACCCTTAGGCTAATCAAAAAGCAAATCAAAGTGAGGCCTAGTCTGCAAAGAGGCTGAGGATTATTGAAATTTTATGATCCCGATGTAATTGAATCTGAGGAATGCTGTGAAAGTTGTTTTTCCTGCCTTAACGTCTCAGAAGGGAATTGAATATAAAGAAACTTGATAATGATGATGAACACTTTTTTTAGTGCTTTTAAATTAAAAAAAAAAGTTAATAATGGCAAAGAAAAATAAAAACAGTACTAAAGCCAAACACAGTAAGTTCTTAATGCAGTAACATGGTTCTCTAAACAGTCCTTAGAAAAAAACTGGAAGCTCATTCGGGATGAGGGGCTTGCTGTGATGGATAAAAAAAGAAGCCTCTTTCTGCCTGAAGATGAGAATCTACGAGAAAAAGGAGACTGGAGCCAGTTTACCTTATGGCAACAAGGTAAAACATTTTGTATTTCTTCTCTTTCCCCAATTTCACTTTCTCAGATTAATATAGTGTAATAAGGAGTAGCAATACAGTTTTTTTCCAGAACTGTTTTTGTAATCACTGAATCTGCAGAAGGAGGGAGCTAATAAAGTAGCATCTGGGACCCCTGCAACAGTGAACAAGAGTTCTTTATTCTAAACCATGTTGTCCCCAAGCACTTCTAAGAATCCCCTGAGGGTAATACTCCTCTTCTGGCAAGGCTGCCAATATTTTGCATGGTAATACATAGTCCAGATCAGCCTGAGGGAAGACAGGAATGTGGGAGAAGGCGCATCCCCAATATTGTGTTGTCGGCTAGGTGAGATCTATTATTCAGAAATGGCATGAGCGAAAGAATATGAGCTTTAATAAGCCTGCTGCCCTGTCCCTGAGCTCTGCAGTGGGAGGCCCAACTATTGGAATGACCTTAAATTCTTATAAGACTCTGCATATGAAAGAGTACTGTAAAAAAAAAAAAAATTAAAAGCAACTTATATCAAAATATCAAAATATAATCTGGTGTTGAAATGGTATGATGTTGGTGGCATTTTTCATCTTTTCTTCTATGCAGCCTCATTAATGATTATACTTGAAGAATCATGTTTAAAAAATGGTAGAAAGCCTGCTCTTCACAAATAATTTAAAAGCAAAGATGTTGCAGGCTGCTCTGATATTACAATATGTTAATAGTTCTGTTTCATAATCTGTAAAATGGGAATAATAATATTTACCTGTCTTTCAGTGTCAGCTCTTTGACAGCTTTGTTGCTCTTCTGCAAAGCAGAAAACAAGGAAATGTTCGTTCTTGCTCTTACCAATGCTCTATCCATTATTTTCACTAGGAAGAAAAAATGAGAATGCTTGTAAAAGTGTTCCGAAAACATGCGCTTTATTGGAAAGATTCCCAGAAGCTACTGGCTGCAGAAGAGGGCAGGTACCTGGCAAATTTCTTCATTTTTGCAAATTCCTAATGCTGGGAGCAGGTGGTTTTGAGGAATGTGTATAGAGATGCATGACCTTGGTATATTTAACGATGCCTGAAGCACACAATGAAGTTAACAGTAAAAATACACCAAATTTTAGCCCTCAGCAAATACAAGGTGAAATATGTTAGTTGAAGCCTTTCTATGGACTCTTTAGTTGAGCCATTTTACCTTGTGTTTCCTGGGAGCTCGTGGTAGGTAAGTAGGTATTTGCCATGAGTCAACCAATCAGTGATGACTTACTAAGCCTCAGCAGCCGTAAGCGACCTGGTCTGACTCAAAGCTAACCCTGCTTTGAGCAGGAGGTTGGATTAGGTCCTTTCTAACCTGAATTTTTGTTTTCTGGTCTGAGCCTAACTTTGCAAGACTAATTCAGTGAGCCAGATTCTCACTGTGATAAACTCCAGCCTGGCTGCCTTAGACAGAAGGAGAATCGCCTCATGGAAGCCAAACAGTACTACTGTCACATGCTTCTTTCCTAAAGGTAAAGGAAGGAAGTTTTACATCCTTGAGCTGTGGCCTTGGGTGCCAACAAAGTTTGTTTCAACTGCCTGGTCTACACTGACTACTCAACTACAAATTAACCTCATTAAATCATGCAGTAGATTTATATGGCATGGATCAATACATACACAGCTGAATGAATGGCCCAACACAGCTATCATGTGATTCTATAGGACAGAATTTATCTTTTTTTTTTTTTTCAAGTTATCTATATTTTATCTGTAATAACTACATGAGAATAGCCTTCATGTTGCAAAATTAAGGATGCAAAAGCTGGAAAACACAGTGCTAGCACAACCCTAATTCAGAGCCTTGAGAGTAAGTGTTCAGCTTTTTCACCAGACTCTTGCTTTTGATATGCAGAAGCACGCTAGATGGCTACTGTTGTGGGAATGAACAAGGCTATTGTTTCATTGATTTGTTACAAAGGCTGTTTGTAGTGAATATAACTGATGAGAGAGGTCATCATGCTCAGTGATGTTGTTTGCTAACAGCAAGAAAACTGCTTTCTGTGGCATCCATAGCCAAAATGGATCTATCCTAGAGAGCAGATTATTTTTGAGAGCTACTATTTTGTTCATCATTTTTTGGCACCCCACATGTATCAACAGGATATGGTTTGTGGAAACATTATGTATTCATAGCTATAGCTGTAGTCATGTGTTTTGAACATATAAAATGTAAAATAATCTGGAAAAGGGTGCTCTAGAAGTCTTAAGTTTTACATCCAATATTAGGGGATGCCTAGGACAATTTTGGTCTTATGCTAGCCATGCCTCAGATTCTTACTGGTAAATTAAATTTAAAATATCACCTAATCTCTATTCATGTACTGAAGCACTTGGAAGCAATGGGAACAAACACAATCAGGAAATTAGGAATTCTGTGGCAGATAGGCCATTTGGATGCTTCGGGCACCTCGTGTATTGACAAAGATAAAAGAAATGTAAAATAATCAACTACCTGCTCAGTGCTGCTGAGAGACTGTGTAGAACAATAGCACGTGATCATATTATTAAAAATTATATCGTTCTTCTTAAAAATAGCAGTAAACTAAAAGTAGCACAGGTAGTTTTAATTCTGGGCACTTCTTAACTCTTTAGAATTTTACGTTACAACCATAGTATAACTCATTGGTGTTTCAGGACTATTTATGTATAGTATTTGAGTACAGCGCATACATATAATTCACAGACATACCTAGATTGATCTGCATAGACAGATAACATACATGACAGTAATCATTCCGCAGTGCTGGTATAGTAGCATTAAAAAAACTGGTTCTCTGGGATATTAGTAACTATCTTGTATAGCCATTTATTTGCTTTGCATTAGGGTCTGACAGGGCAATCAAGTTAACACATCTTGGTGTAGCAGAGGTGGTGGGTTGGAGCATCTGTGTTCACCATGGCCACTGGAGCCCATCACTAGCTGTCGTAAGAAACTGCTGGTAAGCTGAAACCTCATATGGTGTGAACGGCTAAGGCATTAGACACATATTGTCTTCTGCTGATTTTGTTACAGATGGAGAGCAAGCAACACCTTAAACCCTAAGATTTATCAAAGTTACCCTATCCCAGCCTGATGTGCAGATTTCTGTTGAAAAGACACTTCTCACCACTGTCACGCGTTATTCACATTTCCTGTTTGTTGCGTTGCTGTGGAATCACAGAGGGGTTGAGGTGGGAAGGGACCTCTGGAGATTATCTAGTCCAACCCTTTGCTCAAAGCATGATGAACTAGAGCAGGCTGCTCAGGACTGCATCCAGTCAGGTTTTTTCTTACGTTTAAATGGAACTTCCTGCACTTCAATCTGTGTCCATTGCCTCTTTGCCTTTCACTGGATACCATTGAGAAGAGCCTGCCTCCATCTTCTTCACTCCTTACATTGGTAAGATCCCCTTGAGCCTTCTCTTCTCCAGGCTGAGCAGTCCCAGCTTGTATGTCAGATGCTCCAATCCCTTAATCACCTTTAAAGCCTTTCACTAGACTTGATCCAGTATGTCCATGTTTGTCTCATAGTAGGTAGCACAGAACTGAACTTAGCACTTGAGACATCTCACCAACTTTGAGTAGAGGGGAAGGGTCACCTCCCTCAGCCTGCTGCCAAAGCTCTCCCTGGAGGCTGTTGGTCGTCTTTGCTGCAAGGGCACATTGCTGGCTCATGTTCAAATTTTTGTCTCTCAGGACCCTACGGTCTTTCTGGGAAGTTGCTTTCCAGACAGTTGTCCACCAGCTTGTATTGGTACATGGGATTATTCCTTCTCATTGCAGAACTTTGCACTTCTCACTGTTGAACATCATAAGATTCCCGTTTGCTCCTTTCTCCAGCCTGCCAAGGTCCCTAAAAATGGCAGCAAAAAATATGTAGTATATCCGCCATTCCTCTCCAATTTTCTATCATCTGCAAACCTGCTGAGGGGGATGCACTCTGTCCTATCATCAGAGTCGTTTGTGAAGCTATTAAACAGCATTGGACCCAGTATTGAGTCCTGGGGTACACCTCTGATGAGTGGCCTCCAGCTGGACTTTGTGCCTCTGATCACAACTCTGAGCCTGGCTGAACTGCCAGTTTTCAGTCTACCTCACTGTCGGCTTACCTAGTTTCTATTTCATCAGTTTGTCAGTGAGGATGTTGATGGCAGACAGTGTTGAAAGTCCTACTAAAGTTGAGAGTAACAATATCCTGTAATCTCCCCTCCTCCACCAAGCTAGGCATCTCGCCACAGAAAGCTGGTTAAGTACAATTTCCCCTTCATATATCCATGCTAACTGCTCCCAGTCACCTTTTCCTTCATGTGTTTGGAAATGGTTTCCAGGATTATTTGCTCCATCACCTTCCCAGGGATCAAGGTGAGGCTGGCTAGCCTATAGCCTATATATATGTTTCATCCTCAGATCCTCCTCCTTGCCCTTCTTGAAGATAGGAACAACATTTGCTTTCTACCAGTCCTCAGGGACTTCTGCTTGTTGCCATGACCTTTCAAAGATTATTGAGTATGGATTCACAACATCGTCCAGCTCCCTTGGCACTCATGAGTGGATCCCATCCCATTAGGACCCATGGATCAGTTTGTTGAGTTTGTTTAAATGTTCCCTAACCTGGTTCTTCTCCACTGAGAGTGTCATCTTTGCTCCAGTCTTTTCCACTGGTCTCAGGTGCCTGGGATTCCTGAAGTCAGTCATACTGACTGAGGCAAAGAAGCTTTTTCCATGTCAGATCTCCTGCCACATTTAGAAGCAGGCCCATGTGTTCCCTAGACTTCCTTTTACTGCTGATGTATATGGAGAAACCTTTTTTTGTTGCCTTTCACTTCCACCTCCAGATTCAACACCAGGAGAGCTTTGACTTTCCTAACCTCATCCCTGCATGCTCAGAGAGTGTCTTTACAGTCTTCCTGGGTGACCTGACCCTGCTTCCACCTCTTGTATGCTTCCTTTTTGTGTTTCAATTTCGTCTGGGTCTCCATGCTTCCTGCACATGGGGATGAACCATTCTTGAGCCTGGATGAGGTGATCCTTGAAAATCAACCAGCCGCCCCAGACCACTCTTCTCTCCACCACTGTATCTCATGGGATTTTTTCTTCAGCAGATCCCTAAATAAGCCAAAATCTGCTCTCCTGAAGCTATGGGTAGTAATCCTGCTTTTTGCCTTTCTCCCTCCTCTCGTGGTCCTGAACTCCATTATCCCATGGTTGCTCCAGCCAAGGCTGACAATGACCTTCACAACCCAGTTCTCATCTGAGAGGGGCCAGTCAGTCTGGCTAACACAGGCCTTGTGGCTCCTGTGGTCCATCCTTTCAAATGATAAGAGTGTCTGTACATCTCTCCATAAGAAAGAAGGTATTTTTCTGATTGTAGATAGGAGATAATTATTTTCAGGCTGAAATATGAATACTGATTATTTTAAACAATGTGAAAAATATGTACTTTTACACACATACACACCTGGACGTACACACACTCCACAAGACATGTTTTTTGTAGTATTGATTGCCCTTAGGATGTGAGAAAGCACAATCATCACTGAGACTCTAACAAAAGGTGACATTGCGCTGTTGGCCCGTCGTCAAGGATGAGACGCAATGGGTCCTGAACTCCTAGCAGTATGGTTGTGGAGCTGAACGTGTTGAAGGCCTGCCTCTCTCTTCTTGCAGATCAAATATTCTATCATGCACCCAGGGACTCATGTCTGGCCCCACACGGGGCCCACCAATTGTCGGCTAAGGATGCATTTGGGCTTGGTGATACCTAAGGAAGGCTGCAGAATTCGGTGTGCCCAAGACAACAGGTATATTTGGGGTTTTGGGGGGGTTTCTTCTACCTTCCTCAAGGCTGAAAAGGGGGTGGGACAGCATGTAATAAAAAAGAAAAAGAAAAAAACCCTGTGTTTTACTTATCAGGAGATGTAATCTATTTCATTAAACAGCCAATTTACACCCTAATTCTTGGTACAAACATATAAATATCATTTGTCAAATAATGCCAGAAGAATCGGGAGACAAAGCTACTGTACTCTGCTGTAGCATGGAAATAACAGTGAGTTTAGTCCATGAAGTCTCTCTGTGTTTACTTTTATAATGCCATTCTAATATACTTGCCAACCAAGTACCTCTATTTGTTTTGATTTTTTTTTTTTTGCTTAGAATTCTTTGCTTATTCAGCAAAAGCTGAGACTAAGCTATACCTCCCTTTTCACTACCATAACAGAATACTTCTGTATTTCTGCAGAAGGGTCCTTCCTAGCTAGTATTATTTGTTATAATTCAGTTAAAAGTATTCCAGTTGAAGTTAATTTGAAGATGAACACATCTATTGAAGTGTTTGGCCCAATGAGTTATGCAGGTAGCATATTTCTTTAAAGTGCATTTTAAGTAAGATTTCTTACCCCTTAGGGAAGAATTATGCTGACTTGAAGACCAGTTTTGTTTCTGTTTACTAGATGCAAAAACAAAAATAAAATGCAGTAGTTATACATTTACAACCAGGGCATATACTCCCCTGGGAAATATGAGTAAATGTGATAGGTTTTTGCAGGATATTATTAAACACAGAAAAACATAGTATTAACTATATTGCTTTTTTCTTACAGACTTAATTTTCGGAGACTTATGTGAAATTCTAGTGATGCTTAGTTTCTATATGTATGTTTTTGGAAGATTCTGTGTCTTGTCTGCAGCATCCGAGTGCAACAAGCATTAATTCTGAATTCTTTTCAGGGTAGTAATGTACAGATATATTTGATATCAAGAAATGAAATGCCCCTCCTGTCTGCATGACTGCAATATGTAGCAAAGACATTTTTGAGAACATTTGAAAACAACTACAACAAGAAATGTTTAGAATTTTTGAGGACAGAAGTATCCAACAGTTAATAACAAAAGATGTTGCCACTACCGACCCCTGCCAACATGTAGTTCATTTAATAATCTGTCACAGTCGGTGTTACAATCTACACCACCTACATCTAGGTAGTGATGGATGTTTGCTTCCAGCATTCCAATCCAATATCCAAAATAAGTTTAAGACAGACATTTAGATGGAAGGAGAGGTAGCTAACAGGCTTAGAGGACTACTATGGAGACAGTGGAGTCTCTTCACTTTAGGGCAGTATTGTGCATTCAGATTGGTGGTGACTGAATGGCATTAGTATTACCATTAGGTGGCTTTTTAGTGGCCTGTGTGAATGAAGTGGTGGTTTTGAGCTGCTGCCAAGAGAGCAGGTATCGGCAGCTCACCACCCTTTATTATGGCTGGCACCCTTCTTTGTCTTAACCCAAACAGAAGGGATAGCGGTGTGGAAAGGAGTAGTGGTTTTAAACTAAAGAAGAATAGATTTAGAATGGATATAAGGAAGAAATCTTTTACAATGAGGGTGGTGAAGCACTGGAACAGGTTGCCCAGAGAGGCAGTGGAGGCCCCATCCCTAGAAACATTCAAGGTCAGGTTGGACGGGGCTCTGAGCAACCTGATCTGGTTAAAGCTGTCCCTGCTCACTGCAGTGGGGTTGGGCTAGATGCCTGTAAAGGTCCCTTCCAACCTAAAGCATTCTGTGATTCTATAAACATGAACTTAACAACCTCCTCCTTGGTAGCAATGCTCCCTCAAAGTCAAGAGTGGAGAAACACCTGTTGCTGCTGGTATGCTGCAGACCAAGCACTCCAGTGTCCAGGATCTTGAACTTGGCTCAGTCTTGTGCATCAGACTGGCTCATTTGAAATGTAAAACATTCAAGAGCTGACTACATCCTGTGCTGGAATGTGTTAACTTTAGTTGCTTTTGGCAAGAGCTCTATATTCAGAATCAAAGGCAGGATTTTCCCTAAAAGCATTGAAAGTGTGTCTACTGATGGCAAAAAGGGTGTTTTGTTTTCGGGTGGGTTTTGTTTTTTTTTTATCCCTTCCCCCATGAAAGGGGAGGTGGGTGAACTACTGTGGAAGGGAATGGTGCCAGGAAAAAATTCTGCCTTGGGCATTTTCAGTTCCTTGCCTCCTGGTGGTTCAGAGTAGTGGTAAACTATTAGTTTCAAATAGAGAGCTGGCTCAAATATGAAGGTTAGTGTAGGTCAGGCTTTTTCTGGCCTCCTGTCCCACTGCTGTGTGTATGAGAGAGAGAAGAGAAACAATGAGAATTTTGTGCTTGGTTACCTCTGTGCCCCCCAGTGTGGGTGTTTAGAGGGGCAATGTTACAATGCAACTCATCCTTTGATGGACAGGCACCTCTCCTCTTGCTAGTATTGCGTTTTACTCATTCACTTGCAGAAGAGTCTTTTTGCAGCTTCTAGGAGCAGGTACACCTCATTGTTATTTACAGCTATATAGTTATATACAGCTATAGTAATTTTATGTCATTGGGCCATTTTGAAATTCCAACTCTAAAGTGTAGGGTACAATGCACAAAAACGGTAGGTAAATAATATCTAGTTATCAAAATCGAACATTTCTGTCAGACAAGGTAATCAAGTTTTGAAATGAAGGTGCAGAATTACAGCCTTATGCAGAAGCCATTCCAAGATCTCACCTGTAACAGGTGACACTAGAGCTGTGCAGGTGATATAGAAACTACCCCAAAGTGGCTCAGCACCAGAGCAGAATAATGTCATCCCTGTGGGCCGACTGTGAAGTGTTTCTCACACCATGAAGGCTTCTAGAAAATATTTATTTGCATGCCAATGGTGGGGTTTGTAATCTGTTCAAAAGTGGCTAATAGTTCTGTCAACTTTATGGCTTTTTCTTTGTTGTGCAAAACAGCCCATCCCATTATGATGCAAATGATAGATCCTGGGTTTTAACCTCTGAAGCTACTTCATCTGGGTGCTTAGAGTTTTTATTGTCCTTAACTGAGCTGCACTTTCAGGCTATTTAGGGCAGGGTTTTTCACGCTTGGTTTAAATAAAAAACAAAACCAAACAAAAAACACCCCAAAAACCAACCCCCAAAACCCAACTCCCGCCCAAACAACTAAAAAAAGCCAAAATAAAATAAAATACACCCCAACCCCCCAGCACCCCCCTCCAAAAAAAAACAGTTGGCTTAATTTTTTACCATCTTATAGCATTGCAAGTGGTTGACTCCCATTGGCTTGAGTAATACCAATGTAACTTTAGTGCAGTAGCAGAGACTCAGGGTCTGTATGACACGAAACATTTTCGTTATCAGATAACTGATGTGGTAACAGAAAAAACACATGATCATAGCTGAAACCTGCAAAAGGCTCGTTATCTGTGCCTTCAAGGCTGACACGTGTGCAAGCCAGTGTGAATTTTTTACTATGTTACGCTTTCTGGTTTATCTACTCTTGCTTAAACTATGTTTAGATGATCATTTCAGTTGAAATGATCCCATTTCAGTTTCCATTTCTCTTCAGAACATTGCAGCACACCCTCATAAATTTTGATGGTTAAGTTTTGCTTTTGTTGAATTAAAAATTAAAATACTGAGATGACTTGGGAGTCTAAATCTCATTTTCACCCTGTTTTTGAAAAAAGAAAATTGTTTTCTCTGTGAGTGAACACAGCTGAATGAGCTAAGCAATGCCTTTCCATCTTTGATGGCAAGATCTTTGTTTCTTTACCAACATTACAGTTCACAGTTCCTAATTCCCTTTAAGGGCATCAGTCCTCATGGACTGCTTCAGCTCCTAAGGGATCCTGTTAAAAAATTTGATTACGTGGTCGTTGTAGAGTGGCTTTAGGAGGTAACATTTCTTTGATCAGTATTGCCTCAACTGACTGTTATTCATCCAGTCTCACCTGAAGGGGTATAATCAGGACCATGCTTTTGTCCTGCTGCAATGCAAAATAATTTTGCTTTGCTCATGCCACTGCCTGACTTTACAATAGACAAACATGTAACACATAATCAGCTGCTGTGTCTAAATGCAGTAGGTGAGATTGAGATCTGAGGGGCAGAGACGGATGACTAGCATAGTGACTTTTTGACATGCTGTGACATTGTCACTAGTGGTCACTGATCAGCTGCTGATTTTTTGCAGTATCAGGACTGCATTTAACCAGGTGTTAAACCTCTATTCAAAATTATGAATCCAGATATCAGCAGGCTCGAGAAGGGTGCCATCTGAAACTTCTTGAAGTGTTCAACAAAGCGAATGCAAAGCCCTGCAACTGATAACAGATCAACGCCTTGCAACAGTGCAGACTGGGTGATGACTGGATAGAAAGCAGCTTTGAAGAAAAGGACTTCAAGGTCCTAGGGGATGAGTTGAACATGAATCATAATGTGCTCCTGTCTTGATGAAAGCTAGCTGTGTACTGGACTGTGTTAGTAAGTGCATAGGAGGCAGTTTGAGGGGAGCAATTTTTTCCCTCTCCTGCACTCAACACTGCCTCTGGAGTATTGTCCAGTTTGGGGCTCTCCAGTGGAGGATGAAGAAGATGATTAGGAGACAGGATTATGTGACACATGGAGAGGCTCAGAGAGCTGGTTTGGAGTCTGAAGAAGAGGGCTAAAGGGGGAGCCTAGTTACTGTCTTCAACTATTAATGGGGGACTGTGCAGAAAACAGTGCCAGACTCTTTTCAGAAGTGTGCAGTTATAGAATGAGAGGTAATGGACACAAGTGACAGTGAAGGAAATTCTATCTAGATAGAAGGAAATTTGCGCAGTGAGGTTAGTGAAACACTGGAAGAGATGGTGGAATATCCCTGGTTGTAGACGCTCAAAACTATACTAGTCAGGAACCTGGATACTTCATCTAACCTCAAAGTTGGATCTAACTTTGCATTAAGTCTTGTTCTGAGCAGAGGCATGGACCAGATGCCCTTCCAAGGTTTCTTCCAACCTAAATTATTCTGCGATTCTATCCTTCATAAAACTGACAGGAACACTGATTCTTCTGACAATTAATCTCCCTCCTACATTACGTCTTGCCATTGCTTTTAAATCTGGTAATTTTGTTAATTTTTCAAACAATGGAGGTGCTCAAAACCGAGCCACTTTGAAAAAATTGTATGCATCCCTTTTTGTGCCCAACAGAGGTACAGATCTTGGAAAAGTACTGCTGTTAAAACTTGGCTCTTCCATGCCTTAATGAACACTCACCCAGGGTACTTACATCTGTTCAGTGATCTTGGCAAGCAGAGGAGCTTTAAGTTATGTGGTCTTATCCTTCCAGTTCAGCTTTAATAGTATAGTTAACCCAGTGTGCACTATGGCATTGCAACCTTCCGCTGAAGAAAAATCTTTACACTCTGTGCTTTGAATGGATTTACGGGACAAGACTGTTAACATCCCTGAAATTTTAAGCATGATCAGGGCCTAATTCTGTTGTTCTGGTTTTGAGAAAAAGCAGATTGATTTAATGTAATTTATTTTCAAACCATACGACCATATTGCTGGTCATTCCCTCAGTTTCCAGTACTCATTATGTATGTAACTGATTAGAAAAGAAGTTGATTACTACACCAGCATTATACCTGTGAGCCTGATGAATGCTCCTTGCTTATGGGACTCAACTCATTAAAAGTATATAACAAATATTGCAAATGAATCCCTCAGTAATATGAAGGTCCATTAGACTGATCTTTCTGTAGTTTATTTCAATTAAAACTCTGATATTCCAATCTCTTTATATTAGGTACTGAAATCTTGACTGTGCAATATATACTGTTTACATAATTCTTGTGTGTAAAAGGGCATCTTCAGAGCTAATATATCTTGCCTGCTCCACAGCACTTCGAATATTACACTAAAGCATGTCCTTTTTTGTGTTGCAGAACCTGGGAAGAAGGGAAAGTTCTGATTTTTGATGACTCTTTCGAACATGAAGTATGGCAGGATGCTGAAAATTATCGCCTGATATTCATTGTGGATGTGTGGCACCCTGAGTTATCAGCACAACAGAGACGCACCCTTCCTGCTATTTAAGGGGTTCCTTCCGATATGTGGAGCAGAGGAGCTTTAATTGCTTTGGAGTATGCAAATAGGATTAATTTATCCAGCATACAAAGAATATAAGTATTGTAAGGGTTAGAAGAGATAAGAACAGCATTCTGCAATCACAGAGGACTTGATTTAAAAAATGAAAAAAGAAGGGGGGGGGGGGGGGAAAGCCATGTTTTGTTTCATACTGATACAGCACTGATATGTATTGTTTTTCTGGCTGCAAGTTTGAAAATACAAATCTTGTCAGCCAAAGAGCAATAGGTCTGGATTTTCAAACTGAGGAATGTGCAGATGTTTTTGCCATGCCTGTATTATGTGTACAAAACCAGTCAGTTAGTCACCTACATCTGGGAAATACTTCCTAGGCTTTTATCTGAGAAGCAACATGTAAGATATTTACAAACATATGCACACAACCAACTTTGAAAATCAGTATGCAGTTTTAATGTTAGCTGCTTTAGGCATAGAACATGTCCCTGTGTTATCAACTGTAGACAATGTGAATGGGTTATGTGTGTTTTGTATTTTTTTTTCTACCTGAGTAACTGTATTTTTCTAGCATAATTATGAACAAATCTTTAATCAACCACTATTTTTTATAAAACAATATATATGTAAGTGCATCTCTAGCTATCAGCAGAAGGAAAACATTATATATTAACAGATTTCATTTTTGCCAAGTGTGGCCTTCTCTTGCCTTCCTGGAAATGCAAACAGAAACTTGCATAATAAGCTGCTTAGTGAAGCTTTGTTCTTCTAATCAAAATAGTTTTCTTAGTTAGCAGGCAACCTTCAGTTTGATAATGTGATTTTTGAAAGATGTTGTGCAAATGTGACATCTGTAGGCTCAGATCTTAAAGCGCTTGACAGTCCTTAGGATTATGTGGTGAACTGCTGTTTCTCCTATCATTACAAAAGCTTGTGTTGCGATATCCATTTTCTACCCAGTCAGAGTCTGGGGCACCTCCTTCCAGGGGCTCCTTCTAGGCTGCCCTTGGGTGGCCATTCAACAGAAAAAAAAAAAAAAATATGAAGAATTTCTTTTGCTTTGGGCAGAAGGACAAGGTCTAACTTGGTTTCCTGCCAGAATGCAGCGCAGACAAAGGGCTTCAGGTTATTAACTTGTATTAACTTCTGCTGCCAGCATCCTGCAGAGTGCTAGAATGCTCCTTTAATTGACCTAATGGTGTTTTCCTTGTCTTGAAATGTATGACATAATGCTGAAGTACTCTTATTCCAGTACTGTTTACAGTAGGCTCTGTATTTGCCATACAGAATTTACTATATGGTAAAAAGGCCTGTTTTCAAGAAAGAAAACTGGTTGGGTATTTAAGCAGCTCACTGGTCTTTTGGGTCTGTACTGTTTAATGGGAGATGGAGGGTGCAGGACCCTCAGCTGTTAACTTCTAAGAACACTAACAGGAACAAGAGACCTGAGGTTGCACTGGTGATGCTTAGGGCTGGCTGTTATCAGCTCGCCTGCAAAACCAGCTGGGTGTGGATAGGTGTGCTAGGCTGCTCAAGGCTTGTCAAGAGCAGTGGCATCTTTATGGAGGGTTGTGAGAGACAAACACTAAGCAAGGAGACATTGAGGTCACTTAGTCTCCACAGCTTTGGCTTTGTTGTCCAAAAGACACTGAACAGTCACGTTATTTGTTTAATGTTCAGTGGTTTTGTACTGCAGAGACCACATCTGCACTAAGTATCGTGACCAGAATGCCATGTTTGCTGAAGCAAAATACAGATAAGAGCTTTACATTCCCATAAACTGAATGCTTTTCAGATTTTGTATTTTACTAGGTAATTAAATCTTGTAATGCCATGTAACACATGGTGCTTGCACCATAAATTAGTGTAACCAGTTTCTGGAGGTGTGCACTTTAATTTCCTTTTTGACTATTAAACTGATAAAACCTCTCTGCTCAAGAGTCAGTTTTAGATTGCTATGGTAATTAGGCTTTCAGGTATTGTCTGTATCAAAAGTAACATTGAGACTATACACAATGTACAAGAAAGTAACAGTTGTCAGTTAATCATCATGAAAACTGAAAAGATTTATAAGTTTCATGCTTAAGAAAACAGAACAATACTTTTGGAGAGTTTTAGAGGAATCGTGCAAAACTAGAAATAAGGTACTCGTTATTGTGGGGGGTCATATTAAAAAAGTTTTTAAAATCTGGTAGTTTTTTTAGTCAGATGCTGTATTTTGTATCTCTGTAAAGTGATCAAGCAGTACAAATCATTAGCTATTTTGTAATTCTGTAAAATAAAGACATAGTTTCTAAAGAAAAAAATCAAGAACTGTTGAAACCAAAATTTGTGGTTTAGGAATATTTTTATTAATGTTGCATTTTAGTTTCTATAGGTCAGAGTAAATACTAAAGGAGTGGTAAAAGCTTTGGAGCTTTATTTGTAAAAATCCGTGCCATCCTTCAGATTGTGTGTGTGCCAGAGTAGCACTGTTTATTAAATTGTGTAGTGACATATTGGCCATTTAAAATCTTAAGTGCCTTGAATACAACAAGGTTTATTGTGAATAGCTCCTGCAACGCTGAAGTGAATCTACTCTGTGCCTATCTGTCAAGCAGCTGAGAGCATATCTTTTTGTTAGGTACAGTTACTGGGTTAACTATATGCATGGGGGGGATATATAGAGAGAGCAAACTACAGAAATTATGCAGGGAACGAGTGATATATTATTTTAGGTATTCCTGTTTACCAACCTGTATTTCATCTTAAAAAAGTTTTTCAACATTGCAAATGCCAAGGGAAGAAGTGAATGGAAATGTTTTTTTTTAAATGGAGAACCTTTGCAATTTAAATATTTTTTTTCTTTAGATTTATTTACCAAGGGAAATGACAGAGAAGGGCAATATAGTCTCCTGTTTGTAAGGCAGTACGTACTCATCACAATGTTAGGGGGTTGATTCCTTCCTGCCTGTAGTTACTTTGCTTCCAAGCAGAGTCTGTGTAAGATCCTTCAGTTAAATACAAGCATCATAAAGTTATAGACAAGACATCATATGTATTTATTCATGTCACAGCTGAAGAGAATAAATAAATCTAATCTTCTGCGATGTTTAATCCTCAAGGGCTAGATTTCAGTGATATTTGCGCTTCTTGGGCAGCACAAATCCCACCTGAATGAACAGTGATTGTAACAGGTCATCACAAAGATTCCATGGCAGTGGAGGTAAGTGTATTAACAGAGAAAAATTGTAAGCCAAAGTATTGCTTCATTAATGCTGCAGTATAATAGCCAATGTCTGTCTTTTTTTGACTGTTTGTGTTTTTTTATTTTCTGCTTTTAAGCAAGTTCTCTGTGACAAATGCAAATGCCTGTGAGTCTTTGTGAGCCCAGGGGAAGGAAGGGAGCTGTGTCCTGTTACCAGGAGTTGACATCCTACTTTTCTGTAATAAGTGGTAATGTCAGGGGAGGGGGAATGGAAGAAATCCCAAAGATAAATGGGCTCAGTCATTTTGTTTGTTTAATGTTCCTGCAAGCTTCTGCTTCTTTTTCTGGCTCCTGTGTTGCCTTGCTGGGACCATCCATGCCTTAAAGACTCAATCTCTATCATGGAGGCCAGGCTTTGTATCAATGACGTGCTGCTACAGAAGGAGATTAGTCTGAATGAGGCTATTCTGTACAAATACTAGTGGGTAAATCCCAGGTGTGTTGATAGGATCTCACGGGATGTCCTTTCTGCCCTGTACAGGCGTAAAATATTGTAGATAAAGGCAGTATTTTGTTACTCCATCTGTAAGGGCTGACCATGTCCAGTTGAACTGTATTATCACTTCAGTGTATCACTTAAGAATTCAGTGGATGTTCCAGAGGCACATTAAAAACTCTTGTGCACATTATCATCTCATTTTACATATATGGTTTACACTGGTACCTTTTGTTGCCAGCTGCTTGTTCTAGTAAATTGTCAGTGTATGGCAATTTAATTGAAGACTAAAGGTGTGTACAGTGGTTGTAAGTGTTTTAGGAAATAAAGTCACTGCACATGCAATTTGATAACGATTTTTCTTTTATTTCTTTAACGCAATTTCCATTTCAATGAAGAGATGGGACTTTCTTTGCTGCTGGAGCAAATAGAGAAATAACAAATTGATCTTTGGCATTTCAGTTCTTCTATTTTTCCACATTTCCTTCTCGCAGAAGCTTATACTGAATAATTAACTAAGTTTTCCTTTTTCATTTTAACCATGGCCCGCATCTGCAATCAGCATACCCTTCTGGCTGCACCTTTCACTGACTGCAGGAGGGAAGGGGGTAAATGGCCCTTCAGAGCTTTCATTTCCAGTTGTGACCTAAATGAAACAATCTGGATTGAACCATTAATCACTGGTGAATGTGTCCAATGGGTCTCCCTAGCATCCCCCCTTCACACGCACACACACGCACACACACATCTAATAGGCTCCCGAGCTGCCTGTGGAAAAACACATCGTTAAAATTAAATAATTGCATTTCAAATTGTGTGCGTCTGCTGCCCACACAGCTCATTCCAGTTAGCTGGCAGTTTTATAAGGGCTTCAAAAGTTAAAAATAATTTTTGCTAGATACCGAAATAAGTCACCCCCCCTATAAGCAGCATGGATGAGACAGTCGCAAAGTGTCATGTTCAATAGCATTATGCTGGCACTGATTTTTTTTTTTTCTTAATGCAAATCCTTCTGTAAAACTTGAGCAATAGTTGTTGTTATTTCTGCCCTCTGAGCCAGACTAGGCCACTAATTACAGTGCAAAGATTAAATTTGAGATGCATTTCTTTAAAACACATTTAAGCTTCGCTTCTATAAAACCAAGCATCCCTGCTGGAGGCTTCAGGAAAACTTCTACTGACACAGCCTGGTTTCTTTAAACAGAGAATGCAGTCCCATCATTTTCAATATTTTAATGTCGTAAGTCAGAAAAAAAAAAAGAAAGAAAGAAAATCTTTGTATATGGACAGACTCCTACGTCAATAGAAATTTCTCTGGTTTTGTTCAGCATTGGCTGCACGGACAGGTAGCTGGTGACAGTTGTAACTTGCTCAGGAAACATGAAGGACTTGTTCTCAAGCAAAACACGTGCGTGCGTGTGTTTGTGTGTGTGTGTCGTGCTCTGTGGGTTTCTGGTACAGTGGAAGTCTGTTA